TGTTTAATTAGTCCATACCGTTATATAGTTTCATGTGTCTGCTTTTTTTCTCTTCAATTACATTGAAAATTATTTGACTGTAGATGTAGCAATACTTTTTCCCTAAACTCACAGAGCAGAAATCTTTTCTTTTTTTTATGTTGATTTATTTATTTTGAGAGAGAGAGAGAGAGAAGGAGATAGAGAGCATGAGCTAGGGAGTGCGAAAAGAGAGGGAAAGAGAATCCCAAGCAGGCTCCACATTGTTAGCACAGAGCCTGACACCATGTTGATCCCACAAACTACAAGATCAAGACCTGAGCTGAAATCAGGAGTTGGATGCTCAATTGACTCAGCCATGCAAGCATCCCCAAAACCTTTTTTTTTTTCAACAGACTTTTATCAAGCACTTCCAGGAACTCTGCTAGATGTCCAGGATGCATCAGAGAATAGGGTATGCCCTATTTGCAAAGATGTAAGAATTGCTGCTTTCGTTTCATAGTTTGCTCAATTTCAGAAGAATGAAAGGTTCAGATAAGTTTTACTAGGCAAGTAATTATGACACACTCAATGAAGTATTCAGTTCATTATTAGTGAGTCTTATCAGTTTGGCTTATTGTCAGAAGCCCCTGGAAGGAAGGAGGAAATAAAACTAATAGTTACAGAAAAACACATATTTATATAATTGTTTTCATTTAAATTTCACCATAGATCTTGCAAGGTATTTATTTTAGTAAAAATTAAAAGGTAAATGTATCTGAGAGTAGATGGCCTACCAGAAAAGTCTTGGTCTGTCTGTCCATATCATTGAAAGTAATTTCTTATTCAGTGACAAATGACATCTATGTTTTCTGAAGTCAGTTCTAATTATCTGGAATATCTGGCATGAGGAAGAGGTTTTGACTCAAATAAAACACAAATTAGCCTCTCAATTAGTTAACCATAATTTTGGTTGAACATTGGTATATTGTTTTCCAATAATTCTCTAATTCTTTGCTACTTCCTGGGAATTCTACAATTCCATTCAATTCTGACACTGCTGGGAGTTAGAGCAGACCATGCAGGTAAAGGGTGAATTCAGTCCCACAAGACCACCCTCACTTCAGATGCCAGCCACAGGGTCCCCAAGCAACCAGTACTTCTGCCTGGCTGACTATAAATTCTGAAGTTCCTTTGACCCACTCACCTTGTCCAAGCATGACAATTCACTAAAGGACTCATAGAACTCAGGAATGCTCCATACTAATAATTACAATTTTATTATGAAGGATGCAATTCAAGAAATGCCAACTGGAAGAAATGTGTAAGGCAATGCATGTGTATGTGGGTAGGTGGAGGGACATAGAGAGCTTTTGTGCCATCTTCTGGCATTCTACCTTCCCAGCATATTAATGTGTTCACCAACCTAGAACCTCCCCACCCCCAGCCTTCTTTGTTCAAATGTTTCTATTGAAAATTCATGATGATAGCATGACTAATTGAATCATTAGCTATTAGTGACTGATCTCAATTTCCAGAGTCTCTCCCCTCCTCAGAATCAGGGCTGAACGTTCTAACCTTCTAATTGGTTGGTTGGTTTTTCTGGCAACAAACTTCCATTCTAAAGGTTTCAAGGACCCAACAAGGGTCATCTCATTAGCATCAACCCAGGTATGGTCAAAAGGGATTCATTATGAATAGAAAAAGATACTCCTGTCACTCAGGAAATTCCAAGTGTATTAGGATATCTGTGCCAGTAACCAAGACAAAAGCCAAATACATATATGATATTTATATATATGATCATATTACAGTTGGAAATACTAAGGAGCTTATAATCCAATGGTTAGGCTTCTCTGGTAATTTAATTGAGCTGATTTAATTTATCTAGAGTGGAACCCCATCATGGACACTTTTTAAAGGCTGTCCAAGTAATTCTAATGTACACCTAGGGTTGAAACTATTTTTTAAATACAGCAGGAGTGAGAATATTACACATTTGATAGTCAGTTGTCAAGTGTTTGTTGAACTATGGTCCATGCGCTATGCTGGATGTTTAGGAGATAGCAGTAAACCAGGCACATTCCTTTTCATATGGAGCTTTAGTCCAATAGGAAAGTCATAGATTACACATATATGGCAAAGAGAATGGAGCTGTGGAGGTAAGGAAGTGAAGGGTAGGGTCAGAAGTTGTTCCTTTAGGAAAAGACATTGATGGGAAATCTGAAAGAACAAATAAGAGTTAAAGAAAAGCATGAGGATTGTTTTTCTTTTTAAAATTTTTTTAAGTTAATTTATTTATTCTTGAGAGATGGAGAGAGTGAGGGAGGAACAGAGAGAGGGAGAGAGAGAACCTCAACTAGGCTCTACACTGTCTGCATAGAGCCCTGTGTGGGGCAAGAAGATTGTTTTTCTTGGCACTCACTTTTCAAGTGAGGTTCACGGGAATAGTAGCATCAGCACCACTGAAGAGTTGTTAAAAATACAAAATATCAAGCCCACTGAATCAGAATCTACATTGTTCATAGGTGAGCCCTATACAAAATCAAGTTTGAGAAGTACAGCTTTTGGTAAGTCCTCCAAAAGGAACTGCTTATAATTTCCCCAGTGAGATCCCTAAGGCAGCTTTGCTTCCTGTCCTTAAGTGAACTAATCATACAAATATTCCTATAATTCCATAAGCTACCCAAGGACATTACCACTAAAATTACTTTTGCTTAAACTAGTAAGATTCACATTCTATTGTCTCTATGATAAGTACCTAAGTAACAAACAAGACATTCCATTCCCAAATTGCCAGGAAACAATGACTAAAACTGAAATTACATCTCACATTTTTTTTTAAATGTTTTATTTATTTCTAGGAGACAGAGAGAGAGACAGCGTGAGCAGGGGAGGGTCGGGGAGAGAGGGAGTCACAGACCGAAACAGGCTCCAGGCTCTGAGCTGGCAGTCAGCACAGAGCCCGACGCGGGGCTCGAACCCACGAACCGCGAGATCATGACCTAAGCAAAAGTCGGACGCTTAACCGACTAAGCCACCCAGGCGCCCCTCATCTCACATTTTTAATTCAGTATTCAATAATGTATTTCTAGCATGTCACACATGATCTGAAATGTTGTTCCTTTCCTTCATAACTTAAGACATATATAGTTTAAAACCAATTAGTTTTGACTGGTACTCAGAATTTTGTGCTTTTGGTTAGCTAAATAATTTCTATCTTTTCTTCAAATGTTTAGTTTAGGAAAGTAATTACCTATTTACTTATGAGTTAATTACCTATTATGCAGAACATCCCCAAAATAATAACTTAGGACAACACTTACTATCTCACATTTTTTGTTGGCCAAGCTCAGGATTGGTTTAATTGGGTTATTTTTACCTTCTGAGGTTGCAGTCAAGATGCTGACTAGAGAATAGCAGTCATGTGAAGGCTTGCCTGGGGTTCAAGGATCTGATTCCAAGAAGATTCATCCCTATGGCTGATGCATCAATGCTGGTGGTTGGCATGAGCCCTTACTTACTCACCACATGGACTTCTCCATAAGTATTCTTGAATATCTTTATGTCATGGACTCTGAGAAGTGATCCATGTGATAGAGGCTGAAGCTACAAGATTCTTTTTGAGCTAACCTTACAAGTCATTCTCTGTCAGTTCTGAAATATCCTATTGATTGCCAGGTTAGCCCTGTTCAATGGAGAAGAGGGAGACCAATAGGGATGTAATGTGACTACCAGAAGAGAGAACCACTGGAATAATCTTAAATGCTAGCTAACACCAAGTTCATATTTCATACTGTTTCACATTTCTTCTTCCAACTATGTTTTTTTTTTAAATAATGAGAACCAAGTGTAATAATATATCAAAAATCCTCCAAAGATAGTGACTTCCTTGAAAATCATAGTTGGTAACACTGTATGATGGGTATTTTAATATGTATATATAATAATGCTAATAATATAATATCTGACATTAATACATAATAATATATGGATGACAAGCACTATTCTAAAGGCTTTCTATATATAAATGAAGTTAATTTTCATGACAAATCTATGAGGTAGATATTATTTTTCTCCCTATTTTGTAGAGAGTCACAGGGAGATTAAGGAAGCAATGTTATTATTTTCTCTCTTCTTTATATTAAAATTCCTAACTACTATGACTAAATACATAGGTGGTAGAAACAAAGGGTTAAAGACTAACAATGAGGATGGTAAGAATATGGAATGTTTAAGGATTAAGGATCATTTCTATTTACTGAGATCCAATGTTGGAGAGTAAGTGTGCAGGTGCAAGAAATTAAAAGAACATAGTTTTAGCCATCAGTATATTTGAAATATAACCAATTAAAGAAGAAACAATTCAAAACATTATTATTTTGTGTCAGTTTTAAAAATGTTCAACAAATCATAGCACATGTTTTTAGATTAGTTTATTCAACAAATATAATTGAAAACCTACTGTATGCTAGGTACTCTTGAAGAACCTGTGATATATATAGCAGTGAATCAACCAAAAAAAAATTCTTGCCTGCATGGGATTTATATTCTAATGGGAAAGAGACAAATATTAAGCTAGATAAATTAGTAAAGTATATGTAGATTGCATATTGATAAAAGCTAATGCTAAAGAATTAAGCAAAGGATAGGGGTAAGAAATATCAATGTGGGGGAAAGGGAGGTGATAGAGATCCAAGGAAGATTTTACTGGGCTGGTGACTATTGACTGAATACCCAGAGGATGTGAGAGAGCTAGATCTGGAAGAAAAGCATTTCAGGCAGAAGGAACAGCAAGCACAAAGGCTCAGAGGCATGCATAGGTAGAACAATTCTGAGGAACAACAAATGGTCAGTGGGATTAAAACAGAGCAAATAAGGAGGGAGAAATAAGAAATGGATTTAGAGAGTTAACGTGTGGCAGAGTAAGCACAGATCATGTGAGACATTGAGGGTTGTCAGTACTTACTGTGACCACTCTGGCTGCTGGGATGAGAATATACTAAAGAGAAACAAAGGTAGAAGCAATAAGCCCGTTTTACCATTGTAGTAATCCAGGAAAGTGGTGGTTATGCTTGGTCCAGGATAGTAGCAGGGAGTTACCAGGGGCATATTGAGAAGTGGTAGAGTATGTCACAGAAGGAATGGAATACCCAATACAAGATAGCTCACCTTAAAAACAACAACAACAACAACAACAACAACAACAACAACATGATCATGATGTTTAAGGGAGTAAATTAAACAGACGTGGTCAACAGCTATGAACCACTGGTATCCTGATAAGAGAATCAGTATTCACTTAAGATTGCTGTTTGATGGTTTTGGAAAGTACCCAAGCCAGTACCTACAAAAAGAAGCTGATTTTTAAGAAAGGAATTTTATGTCCTACTGAGTTACTGGCACGAAGTTCAGAAAGAAATATAAAGAATTTAAAAAGAAAAGGGTACTCTGAAGGTTTAGAGTAATGTTCTTTAAAAAAATATGCTAACTGACTGATGATCAAAGAAAAAGTTGGCAAATTCTCCTGGCAGTCAAATAAAAAGAAAAAAAAAGATCAGAGAATTGATTTGTTAAATAAGGTAAACGTATTCCTAGAATTTTCAACTAGCTATTTACAGACACATATTCAAATGTCAAGCCAAAATTAAAGTGGATATCAATAATTTCTCTCTAGAATGCAAACACACATAATGTATGGAACAAAGGAATGTGTATCAATAGCACTAGTCTCAGGGTTGTGAGAGATTCACTGCCTGATGTTGACATCTCCATAATGGTCAAAAACAAAATATCTTGCTAGTGGGGGAGATTAGACTCTTCCAAAATGATCATTCCGTCTACAATCATTTGATCGTCTGTGAACCAAATGCTAATGAATTATTTCAAACACTTTTTAAATGTTTTTCCTCTTTCAACATATGCAATCAATAAGTCTAAAATGGGATAACATTCTAAAATTGAGTATCTAGACCTGGAAAGAATCACAGAGATAATTTAATCCATCTTCCTTTACCCCCACCCATTTGACAGAAGAGAGTGGATAGAAGTGAAGCAATTTGCTTAATGTACATGACTAGCTAGTTCCAATGTTGGTAGTGAAAAGCAGAGAACTCTTTCAGTATTTATATCTTTATCTTACTCTTTTATAACCACAGTTTTCAAAAATTGATTTGTGATGTTCTTTTTCCATTAAATCGTGGAAAATGCATATGTTTTCCATTTGGAATCACATCGGAGTCTATCCACAGTTCTGGAGGCCAGGTGAAAGGGAAATGTGTGAGGATGTCATTTCCCTCTCTGGCTATGGAAGTGCAAATCCAAGGCCACCTCACTCTTGCAGTGAAAGGCAGACATCCCTAGAATCACATTCAGACAAGTCTGTTTCTTTCACATTTGTATCCTCAATGCCACACAGAACCTGGGGCATACAAGATACTCAGTACAATGTTGCTAAATCAATGAGTAAATTTTTTTTTTTTTAATTTTAGAAAGAGAAAGAGAGATAAAATGCTTACAAGTGAGTCGGGGATAGGTGCAGAGGGAGAGAAAGAGAGAATCTCAAGCAGGTGCCATGCTCAGCACACAGCCCCATGTGGGGCTCAATCCCATGATCCTGGGATCATGATTTGAGCCAAAATTGAGAGTTGGATGCTCAACCAACTGAGCCACCCAGGCGCCCCACAAGTAGATTTTTCTTTCCGTGATGTCACCTGAACCAGAAAACCTTAACATAGGGTAGGTCACAGGAACTAAACAAGAGCTTTAACTTTCAGGGCCTTCTAGAAGACAAATTTATCCTGGTTGAGGTGGGAGTAGAGGCTTTGAAAGGAAGACTTCAGTGATGGTACTGGACTCTACCTTAGCCTAGACTAAGACATAGGTAAAAGGAAAGATAAAGAATGTGTGGTGAAAGCCTCCTCCAGATGTAAGAAGAGAGGAAAGTGAGTGCTGATGAGAAGGAATAAATGAAACGATATGGGAAGAAAATCAAACCCAAGTTGCTATTTCTTTTAACATTTCCTGTAAGGTACTTTCCTCCTATGGTATGTAGGTTAAAAATGCCTTTTTAGGCCAGTGTATTCTGAAATTCTGGTTCTTATGAAATTCTACCTACTAAGCCATGCTCCTAATCCTTCAGTTAGTCAAAGGACTCTAAACCATCAGTTTCAAGAAGTGAAAAGGAAGTATGTGTGCCCCCCACCAACACAATAGGAACATGTACACACAGGTTATTTGCCACTATAGGTACACAACAGCAATTTACTTTTCACTGAAGATTGTTTTCAAAATAAAAATTTTCAAATGGTGAGTAGTAAGAATTCAAAATCCCTCCACTATGCCAGGGAGTTCACTTTAAAGTTTGATGCAAGGGACATTGTACTAGAGCTGCATGACTGCCTTTAAGTGTATTGCCAGGATGCAGTTGAACTTTGGAATGTTTAGCAATCATCTACATCCAACAATGGACAGGTAATAATTTACAGCCAATTAAGTGACTATAATTCAGTCCTTTTTATCTAATTTTTTAATTTTCTAAAAATTTTAGACAGATGAAGAGAGAATGAAATTGGGGGAGAGAGCAGAGAGAAGAAATCTTAAGTTGAGCCTGGAGCCACATGAGGGGCTTGAACCCACGACACTGGAATCATAACTTGAGCCAAAATCAAAATCAAAATCAAGAGTCAGGTGCTCAACCAACTGAGCTACCCAATTGTCGCTGAGTCCTTTTTAAAAATGAAAATTTTAAAAGTCAAGGTCATATTTTATGTGTTGTTCAAGTTCAGTTCATTTTTGATCAAAAGAGAAACATCTGTAGTCACTAACTTGAATCTCTTGAGCACACACAAGGATATGTGCACAAATATATACACAGATGTGTCCATAGAGTGGTCAACTGCTTACCTTTGTGCTTACTTCTTTGCCTAGAACCAGCCCTAGAATAAGGCACTTGCTTTGAGTGCGAAATTTAAGGGAAGAAAAAACTCATCAATTAAGATAAGGATCAGTAACATTGCTGAGCCATTATAAGGAGTCTGAAGTAAAAGAAAAACATCTATAACTTTTATCCTGTTTTAATTTAAAATGTAGAGATTTTCTTTATTATGGATTTTTTCAATACATTCAATTTTTAAAATTTTATATTTAAATATTATTTATTTTGATTGTTGAATTTTTAAATTAAAGTATAATTGACTTAAAAGATCTTATTAGTTTCAGATAATGGTAACTAGGTGTACAATGGGGATCATTTATAATGTAAGAAATTATTAAGTCACTGTGATGTACACCTAAGTACTGAATTTTTGATATGCCTTAAATTTTGCCCCTAAGGCAAGTGCCTCATTCATCTCATGCACCTTACCTTGGTATCAACCCCAACTCAATGATTCTGCTTTATCAAAGACAATGAAAGAAATATTCAAAGATTGAAATCTATTAGAGTGTTCTACACACTAAGGCATATTGGACTCTTTCTTCCTTAAGTTCACATTGAGTCCTTTGAGCTATTCTTTAACAAGACTAATCCTAATCTCAATCTATTAGACTCTTTTAAAATGTGAAGGCACACAAAAATGGCCTTCTCTTAAAGCAATTTATTTTCCTGTTGGACATTTATCCTAAGAAGATAATTATTACTATTTTTTAAATTAAATGTTGTTTTGTAAATTGAATTCTATGGAAATAAGGAGGAGCATCTTAGTAACTATAACCATCAAAATTCAGTCCTCACATTATTTTGTAAGGGTGTTGATGTTCTCAACCATGGCTGGCCATCAGAATCTTCTGATGGAATTTAAATAATATGAGTGTTGGGAATCAATATTTCAGAAATTTGTCTCTTTAGATCTAGGGTGGAACCCAGGTGTCCTTGTTCTTTAGAAGCTCCCTAGGAAATGTAGGGCTGAAAACCACAGCAGTCTACCACTTAGATGAAAAGGAGCGATCACTCCTCCTCGACTTCCTCCAACTCATGCAAGGAAAACTGCAAGTTAAAATACATTATTCAGTTTCATAAAGCAAGTCCTTTCTTTGCTTTTAAGCTTCTGCTGAAAATGGCAATGATTGTATTATTGTCAAAAAAAGATTATCTGGGGATTGACAATTTTTTCCTGGTTTGCTGGTTGGGTAGAAAAATTAGTTAAATATGGTGGTCCCCTGAAGCACTATGTGACAGGTGTTCTAGAAGCCAGAGAAATCTCAGTGAATTTTCTGAATTTTAACTCAGAGAAAACATTTAATTATCTTGTGAAACACTGTAATTAAAGATAACAATAATAGCACTTTACATCAAACATTTTGTGCTTGTGTTGCTATCTCTTTGAGGCCTCATGAAAATACCATGAAAAAAGGAGATAAATTTATGTGTCAATTTATGTATTTACAAACTTCAGTGACCTGTCCATACAAGTCTAGTACCAGCTATAGAAGACAAGCATTCTAATGTTAATATTATCCATTTAGCTTAATAAGTGCTACCATAATCATATCAGACTCTATGAAGTATGCTGTAAAGTATTTTAGTGGTTTAAAAAATATATATTAATGCCAAACAGGAGAGTTAAAAAAAAAAAACTACAAATGAACCAGATTTACATAATCTAATATTTCTATTGGGCTTTTAATTTGGTTAAAGATAAGACATTTTTCAAATTATTATTTTAGAATAAACATTCATTGGCTTAATGAAATTTTACTGAACCTGATGAACAGTTGATTTCAGGCACAAAAGCTGAGTCCTTCAGGAAGGGAGGAAAGCATGTGTGGTCCTGCCGGCTGTTTATTTGGGCAGAATCAGAAGCACTTTTAAGTCTGGCTCTATTCCCCATTTTTTAAACTGTTTTCCATTTATAAGCACATAATGGCCACAAGGAAATACTTCAGGTTTTGTACGCTACTCTGAATTGGTTCTTTCATGAGAAGATACCCTGGATTTGAAACCATCTCTTTAATGGAGAATAATTTTGATTCCAGGACCTATTATACTTATGAGCAAGACTCATGTGCCAAACACTGTGCTAAGAATTCTAGATTCAGAGATGAATAGGACATAGTACTTATTTTCACATGTATTTTTT